TTGTCACATACTCGACCAGACATTGCTTATGCGGTGAGCGTTGTCTGTCAATTTATGCACTCTCCAAGTGAAGACCACATAAATGCAGTTCTTCAGATACTTAGATATTTGAAGTCTGCACCTGGAAAAGGACTTATGTTCTCAAAGCATGGTCATCTAAATATTGATGGTTATTCAAATGCAAATTGGGCAAGTAATATAACAGATAGAAAATCCACATCGGGTTACTTCACATTCGTGGGAGGTAATTTGGTGACATGGAGGAGCAAGAAACAGAATGTAGTAGCTTTATCCAGTGCAGAAGCCGAGTTCAGAGGTATGACTAAATGGATTTGTGAACTTCTTTGGTTAAGAAAGTTGCTTACTGAACTTGGGTATAAACCTACATCCACAATGAATCTCTTTTGTGACAACAAGGCTGTTATAGCCATTGCACAGAATCCGGTTTAGCATGATCGTACTAAACATGTTGAGGTGGATCGACACTTCATCAAACAGAAGCTTGAGGCTAAAGTGTTTCAGTTTCCTTTTGTGAAATTCGAGGATCAATTGGCGGATATTTTGACAAAGGCGATTTCCAATAAAGCATTGCACAATTCACTGGATCAATAGGGCATTGACAACATCTATGCACCAACGTGAGGGGGAGTGTTGGCGTGACTTTTTTATATTGACTTACTTTCCTTACACACCAAGAATTCCTATTATAATTGTAATTGATTTACTTTAATTCTTGATTTCCTACTGTAAATAGATTTAGGAATTTATTATTTACTTGCCCATTCAGGTTTCGTTGTATTATAAATATGACCTCCTACAAGGACAAGAATACACAGAAAATTCCCACAAATAAATATTCTCTCATAGTTTTCATATTTTAGCACATTAGACTAGCACTAGACTTGATTGAAAACTCAGTTATATAATTTTTTTTCCTATCTTTTTTTAATGTAGGAAACTTCCTATGGTTGTCTAGATTGCTGAAAAGGGACCATCAGTGCTCGTGAAATCTCATTCATATTTAATCTAATAAAAATCTCCATCCCTCATGAAAATATTGCTCCTAATTTCCAAATGGGTCATAAATATCCAAACTAATCAAATGTAAGGGAATGATGAATTTATAGCCCTTGATGTATTTATCTCATGAATATCACTTTGTCATAAATATCTAAACTAACCAAATGTGAATTTATAGACACTGTAAGGGAATTTATAGCCATTGTTGGCAAAGTTGTTATTTGGGTCTGCTAAGGTTAGTTTAGCCTTGCACCCAAGTTCAATGATTATTCCTTGCACTCAAATATTTACATTTGGTTTGTTTAGGATATCACTTTGTCATAAATATCTTAACTACTTCTACTACAACCGTTACGCTTTAAACTATAAAATAAGGCATGTTTTATGCTAACCCCTATGAGAACCCTTGTTTCTCATAAGAACTCACAGCTCTCTCTCTCTCTCTCTCTCTCTCTCTCTCTCTCTCTCTCTCTTTAATGCTAAACTCATGACTGTTTTGCTTCTATGTCACAAGCCTCTCATGCCAAGCCAAGAATTTATCTGTAAGAGCATCCACAATGACGCTCTCTATTTCTTAGCTAAAATTTGGCTAAGAATATAAGAAAGCTATTTTAGGAGCTTTCTAAAAAATTTCAACTCCAACCATACTCCATAATTTGGAGAGTCATAAATGCTATAACTCTTTTTTGATTGGTCCATCTCCATTAAAAAATAAAATAAAAAATGGTTAGCATTAAATAAAGGTTTGAAATACTCATTAAATAAAGCAGCATTAAATTATAGGGAGCCACTAGGAGTCCTTTCTCTCTCCTCAGATTTAGGAGCTCTTAGAGAACTCCCTATTTTAGGAGGTGGATAGGGAGCGTGGTTGGAGTTGCATTTTTATCATTCCTCCCTAAAATTTGTCTAAGGATGTGGTTTAGGGAGCCCATTGTGGATGCTCTAAGTGACTATTGATTTCATTTGTGAAGAAGACCAAGGTGCTTCCTAAGGCTCAGCTACCCTTTCGAAGCATTCTTGGGGTCTGATTCTTGAACTCAGACCTAGGGACAATTTTCACACATTTGGCTCTTTATAGCAGTCCAGGCCCGCAGTAGCTGCCGGAACGAAAAAGGCCCCATAGCATGTAGCATAGACTTTTGTTTTTGAGTCTTTTTCATTGACCCAAAAGAAAAAGAAAAATAATATTTTCTCATCATAAACATCTTATACTCAAAATTCTCAAACCCATAATTAGTTTATCCCACATAAGTTTCATCCATCTTCATATATATTATGTCGTTCTTGCTCAGAATCAAGGTTGAAATGAGCAAGTTCATAACCTTCCGTTTAATGAAATAATTATGTGGCTAGTATAAAGTTCCACATCATGGATTTCGCGATGAAGAAAACCAAGTTCAAACAAGTTGATATATCACCCATGCATTTAGGCTATAAATTTATTGGTGAATTCGTGGTTGGACAAAAGCAAGTGTGAATGAGTTGAAAAAAGACCATTTCATTATCAAACAGAGTGGGAAAGAAGCAACTAGAGTAGGGCCATTAGACTATGATTGAAAACTCAGTTATACTTTTTTAATTGTAGGAAACTTCCTATGGCTGTCTAGAGTGTTGGAAAAGGACCATCTGTGCCCGTAAAATCTCGTTCATATTTAAGCTAATAAAAATCTACATCCCTCATGAAAATATTGCTCCTAATTTCCAAATGGATCATAAATATCTAAACTAACCAAATGTAAGGGAGTGATGAATTTATAGCCACTGATGTATTTATCTCATGAATATCACTTTGTCATAAATAACCAAATGTGAATTTATAGCCATTGTAAGGGAATTTATAGCCATTGTTGGCAAAGTTGTTATTTCGGTCTTCTAAGGTTAGTTTAGCCTTGCACCCAAGTTCGATTATTATTCCCTTGCACTCAAATATTTACATTTGGTTAGTTTAGAATATCACTTTCTCAAATATTTGCTTAGTTGTTCTCCATACGTGTTTTGGAGGAGACTTGGTGGCTCTTAGGGTCCGTTTACTTATTTGTGTTCTCCATACGTGTCTTCCACACTCATCCATCTTCATATATATTATGTCTTGGTTCTGGCTTTCTTGATCTCTTTTGTTCTAAAAGTGTGTAACTGTGTATTGCCTTTGAATTTTCCTTCTTGTTCACTGCGACACCTTTGGTATTTGGTAATTCGTGAAGAAATCTGCTGCTGATACTTAAACTGCAGGTGCAGGTACTTTTGATTTATTCTGTTTGGTGCCTTTTGTTTCTTGTATTTTATTTGTTTTGCTCAATGTAATTTATTTTATTTTTTTTATCAATTTCTGCAATTGTGCATCTTAATTTGTTCAGTCTGGATTTGAGGATCTCAAGCAAAATCAGATCTCAAAATTTCCATTTAAGTGCTTATTCTGAACTGAAATATTTAGTAATTATTTCATTTTGATTTATATTTGGCTTCCTGCGTTATTCTTGTTCCCCAAGCTAAAACCAGTATATTTTTTTTCACGTAATTTGTGCAGTTGTGCATGTTCATATTGTTGAAGAAAACTTCCTTACTTCTTTGGTTGCTTGTGTGTGTCTCTTCAGTCTTGATTATCAACAAGTATGGCAGTGGGAGAGATTTTTCTTGGGGAGTTCCTTCAGGTGCTGCTCGACAGGTTGGCACCTCGCGAGATCCTCAACTACTTCGGTCTTGTAAAGGGCGTCGACAAAAAGTTGAATAAATGGAGTGACAATTTGTCTGCAATCGTAGCGGTGCTGAATGATGCGGAGGAGAAGCAACTGACAGAGCATGGTGTGAAATTGTGGCTGGATGAACTCAGAGACTTGGCTTATGATGTAGAAGACGTGCTGGACAAATTTGCTACTAAAATATTGAAGCGCCAGATAGAGGGACGTGATCAAGTAAAAAGGTGCTGGACAAGTAAAAAGGTGCGGAGTTCATTCTCTAAACTGACACTCAATATCGATATGAACTCTGAAATAAAGAATATTACAGAGCGGTTGCAAGAGATCTCTGAACGGAAAGATAAGTTTAGTTTAAAGGGCACCGGGACATCTAGTAAAGCATGGTCAAGGCCACCAACTTCAGGTGTGCTAGGTGGACTAACCATTGTTGGAAGAGATGGAGATAAAGCAAAAATATTAGACATGTTGTCGAGAGATGAGCATACTAATGTCAACTTTCATGTTGTTGCCATTGTTGGCATGGCTGGCCTTGGGAAGACTACACTTGCTCAATTTGCATTCAACAACAACAGTGATGTCATGAAGCAGTTCGAGCCGAAGGTGTGGGTGTCTGTGTCTGATGACTTCGACGTTGTAAGAGTGACGAAGGCAATTCTTGAATCAGTCACATCTCAACCCGTTAAAGTAGAGGAGTTCAGTAAAATGCAGCATGATTTGAATGAGCAGTTAAGAGGTAAAAAGTTTTTAATTGTTTTAAATGATATTTGGAACAAAGGTGATTTATATGATCTGTGGACAAGACTTCAGTCCCCTTTTAGTGTTGGAGCACAAGGAAGTAAGATAATTGTTGTTGGCGTGACTTGTGGATATTGACTTACTTTCCTTACACACCAAGGATTCCTATTTTATTTGTAATTGATTTACTTTAATTCCTGATTTCCTACTGTAAATAGATTTAGGAATTTATTATTTACTTGCCCATTCAGGTTTTGTTGTATTATAAATATGACCTCCTACAAGGAGAAGAATACATAGAAAATTCCCACAAACAAATATTCTCTTATAGTTTTCATATTTTAGCAGTTTATGCCTTTGGTGGGATGACAGAGTCAAGTTAGAGGTGAGTGGAAAATCAAACACCAGGGTGGAATTTGTAGCAACATGAGCAAAATTTAGAGCCTCTTGGATTTATGGGACGCCCTACCGGGAGGAAAAAGAGGCTTTCTGGGATTGGTTAGGAACAACTCTACAATCTATGATGATACCATGGATATGTATTGGAGAGTTTAATGAAATTTTATGGGCATTTGAAAAAACTGGTGGGCGGGCTATTGATAGCAGAAGAATGAGATATTTACATGACTTCATGGATAAGATACAACTTATGGATTTGGGGCATCAAGGACAAGCTTTCACCTAGAGTGGAAAACGAGCGGATGATGTGCTCATTCAAGAGAGGCTAGACAAGGGCTTAATTAATACCCAACGACAAGAAGTGTGGACAAATTCTTCCATTACTCAGCTGCCTGTCGTGGGCTCTGACCATTGTCCCATCCTTGTGGAGACAGAATCTCGAATAAGAAGAGGGTGTAAGCCTTTTAAGTTTGAGGCTTCTTGGACTTCTGATCCGGAGTGTAGAGAAGTGATTGGCAGAACCTGGCGAAGGGAATTTCATGGAAATAGAATGCATGTGTGGTGAAGGAAAATTAGGGGGTGTCATGAGGATTTGCAAAAGTGGAGTGATGGGAAATTCTTAAATAATCGTAAAATTGCAAATTCCTTGTTGGTGGAGCTTGATCAACTTCAGCTGAACTGGGATGCAAACTATGGGAAAATTGTGCAGGTAAGGAACAAGCTCAATGATGTTTAGAGGAGTGAGGAAATGTATTGGAAGTAGAGGGCGAAAACCAAGTGGCTCAAAGAAGGAGATGCAAATACAGCCTTTTTCCACAATAGTACGGTTCATAAAAAGAGGAGAAATCGGATTGCCTGGATAAAAAACCAAAATGGAGACTGGGAGTGTAACGATGCTCAGGTTCGTAACACTATTGAGACATACTTCCAAAACTTGTTTACTTCTGAAGGTTAGAGAGACTGGGGTGACATCTTATCCTTTGTCTCTCCAATCATCATTGAGGATATTAATTCAAGCTTGATGGCCCCAATAAATGATGAGGAGATTAGACATGCTATTTTTCAAATGGGGGCCCTAAAATCCCCAGGGCCTAACGGTTTCTCTGGTATCTTTTACCAAAAGTATCGGAGCATTATTGGGGAGGATATGTGTGGGCTGGTTAAAAGATTTTTCTCAGAGAACGAAAACATTTCTGCTATGAATGTAATAGAGATTGCTCTTGCACCAAAGGTTCTGAACCTGGAGTTGGTCACTCAATTCTGCCCTGTTGCCCTGTGCAACTATTCTTACAAGGTAATCTCGAAGATTTTCGCTAATCACCTTCAACCCCACTTAAATGCAATCATTTCTCCCCAACAATGCGCGTTTATTCCTGGAAGGCAAGTTCAAGATAATATTTTTATTGCACATGAGGCCTTCCACTCTTTGAAGTTGGATATAAATAAAGCTTACAATAGAATTGAGTGGTCCAGGCAGTGTTATTGACAATGGGTTTTGCAGAGACTTGGGTGCAAAAGGTGATGAACTGTGTTCCTTCAGTGGAATTCTCTATGATAATCAATGGAAAGACAGGGGGTGGTTTCAAGCCATCGAGGGGAATTCGCCAGGGGGACCCTATATCTCCATATCTATTCATAATTGTCTGTGATGTCTTATCTTATATGCTTAACCATGCAACAGTGAGAGGCTTCCTTAAAGGTTTAAATTTTTTGGCAGGAGGGGACTGACTTTAACTCACCTATTTTTTTGCAGATGACTCCCTCCTATTTCTCAAAGCTATGAGTCAAAGTTGTATAGTGGTGAGCCAAATTCTCAAGTCTTACTGCAAGGCCTTGGGTCAAGTTGTCAATTTGGAAAAATCAAATTTGTTTTTCAGTCCTAATACTTTGGCTGAAGTGAAGGAAGAGATGAGAGCAGCTCTTAACGTAAATATCACAGATGACCCTGGAAAATACCTTGGTCTTTCAACAATATATGGGAGATCAAAAAAGGAGGCCTTGACCTTTGTAAAGGAGAAAATCTTGCATAAGGTGCAAGGATGGAAGCAAAGTTTACTCACACAAGCAGGTCGAGAAGTGCTGATAAAGTCGGTCGCTCAGGCTATTCCCTCTTATCCCATGTCAGTGTTCTCTTTTCCCATAGGCTTCTGCAAAGAGATTGATAGCATTCTTGCCAACTTTTGGGGGGGACATAACCAGGAAGCAAATAAAATTCATTGGATTATTTGGAAGGATTTGAGGCTGCCAAAGAAGGAAGAAGGGATGGGTTTTAGGAGCCTAAGAGATTTCAATACTGCCTTATTAGCCAAGCAATGCTAGAGATTGATGATGGAGCCAGATGCTTTTTGGGCTCAATTAATTAAGAGTCGATACTTTCTGAACGATGACTTCCTTAAAGCAAAAAAAGGGGCTAGGTCTTCATGGGCTTGGTCGAGCTTGCTGGCAGGAAGGGACGTCATTGTCAACGATGTGCGGTGGCAAGTGTTGGATAGAAGTGGGACTAAATTGTGGACTGAAAAGTGGATTCCTTGATCCCCTGATCGCCTTTTATTGCCAAAGACAAGTGTGGAGGTAAATGAGAAGGAAAAGGTTGAAACAATTATAAACCTTCAACCTGTGTATGGAATGTGAATGCTATTGATGAACAAGTCAATGTCAGGGATGCTTGCTTGATTAAAGCTCTGCCTTTAGGAGACGGGACTGAGGCTAACAGAATGGTGTGGCCTTTCAATAGAGATGGAAGATTTGCTGTAAAATCTAGGTATAATTTAATCATTAATGCTTCTCTTAATTCTAACACCAGTAGTCCTTCTGGCTCTTGGACAATAGATAAGATTATGTGGAAGTAAATATGGAATTAGAAGCTAGTGCCAAAACTGAAACAAAATTTGTGGAGAATTTTCAAGGGTGGTTTATCGACTCGTCAGGCTCTGCATAGGAGACACCTTGGTCCCTCGCCTCTTTGCCCTTTATGCAGAGACTTTCCTGAATTTGAAGAACATCTCTTTCTTTTATGCAACTGGGTTCAGGGAGTTTGCTTTGGAGGCCCTTTATGTTATAAAATAAATAGACAAAGTATTACAACAATTGGTGAGTGGCTAAAGAGGACTTTGCAGCTCCCTTAAAGCTCTGCTCACGATCGATCTTGGTTCATGGCGCAAATTGTATATACTTGTTGTAACAACCTGGTCCTGAATAAATTTTTAATTATTAATTTATTCAGATAAAAGACAATTTGCTCCTGGAATATTTTATTACTATAAAAGTTGACGTTTTGACTGGGAAGAAATTTGGGAATTTCGATTTTACCGTTGTGTAGAGCACGTCGATACGATTCATAGACATGCGGCATGCTCGATTCTGAGTTGTAATGAAGGAGGAAAGGTCTAGAAATGAAAAGGACGTAATGAGAATTTTAAAATTTGTTACTGTAGCAACAGTGCCGCTACAGTATCGGGTGCTACAGTACTCGAGTTCTATTTATTTTCCTCCCCCCTCTGGTTTGCTGGGAGCACCTCCCCTTCCCCCTGTTACTATTCATCAGCTTCGTTTTCTGGCCACCACCGTCGCATCCGGCCACTATTTTGGGTGGCACGGGTCCCAAACGAACCAGCCCGACGCCCTCCTCCTACCCCACCCTTCTTCAGCGATTAACAACAGTACAAGTCGCCGGAAAATGGCCAAAACAGCCCGATTTTTCTCAAAATTTCCCACCGTTCGTTCTCTCTCCTCCGGCCACCAAATTGGACGATTAAGGTATGGATTTCCACCTATTTTTCATGATTTAGTTGATGGTTGGGTAGGATTTGAGAAATTTCTAGCTTATGTGGGTTAAACTTCAACCCAAAGTTTCGCCGATTTTGCAAGCTCGATTCCGGCCACTTCTGGCCTTTTGCCGCGATAGGTCCAAGAATAAAAGTGGCTCCAATGGATGTCCTGAACCTAGGGTAGGAAGCTTGACCCTTGATTTTTAGATTTCCCGGTGAGCGGTATCGCTTTGGATACTCACGCACTGTCGGTGCGTGGGCAGAGTTGGTGAGTTACATTCTATCCTAGAATGTGACAACACGTGACCTAAAAGTTGCAAAGATTATGGGAGCCACCGAAGTTCATAACTTGGAGTCTATGTCAGATGATAATTGTTTGGAAATATTTGAGCAGCATGCATTTGTGAACATTAACAATGATAGACCACCAAATTTTGAGTTGCTTCAGAAAAAAATTGCTGAAAAATGCAGTGGATTGCCCTTAGCTGCAAGAACTCTTGGTGGGCTTTTACGTCAGAATGAAATAAACGAATGGGAAGAAATATTGAACAACAAATTGTGGAATTTATCAGGTAAGAGCAGTGTTTTCAAAGGCATGCCTTCGCGCCCGTCGGAGCGAGCGTCGGCGCGAGGCGGGAGGAAAACGCCCGAGGCGGTCGGCTGTTTCGCAAGTTGCACGTTTAGCGCTGGGAAGGCGTGAGAAGGCGTTGCAAGGCGTGGCCAGGCGGAGCAAGGCGTATCAGATCTGGAAACTTTTGAACCGGAAGAAATTTGCAACTCTGCAAATTTCTGCGTTGAAGATGACTTCGCGAAGAAGACGACTTGCCTTTTTTATTTTATTTTAGGTTTATTGTAATGAAACGACGTCGTTTTTATTGCAGTGTTTTAAAAACAATATTAAAATGAACGACATCGTTTCACCTGGAATCTGTTTTTTTTTAAAACAACACGCAAGTTTCAGTTTTTTTCCTTACCTTTATTGTAATAAACTTAAAACAATAATTAATATCTTTCTTTTTTTTCTTCGTATAGTACGTGTACAACTCTAATTTCTACTCTTACCAGATAACTCCATTAATTTCAAGAATTCTCTTCATCTTTTGATTGCAAGTAAGTTTTTTTTTAAATTTATTTTTTACGTACATACATCATACTTGTATAATTTGACGGTAATAAACTGTAATTTGAAGTTCCGTATAATTTTATGTTTTGATGTTGAATAAATATTTTATATTTTGGGATTGATTATTATGCTTTGAATGACAATTAGTACTTATATTTGATTATATTTAGAAGATTGTTATGGTTGAATAAGAATTAGTTGTACGATTTAATCGTATTGTATTATTCATAAATTTTTCTTATTAAAATAAATTAATGTTCAAAAAGCTTACGCCTCAACACTTCAAGGCTTACGTCTCGTATAGCGCTACTAAAAACGCCTCACCTATACGCCTCGCCTTTGAAAACATTGGGTAAGAGTGACATTCTTCCGGTATTAAAGTTGAGCTATCACTATCTTCCTTCCAACTTGAAGAGGTGTTTTGCCTATTGCTCAATATTTCCAAATGACTATGAATTTGGGGAGAAGCAATTGATCCTTTTATGGATGGCAGAGGGTTTGATTCAACAACCACCAGAAGCCAATAGACAAATGGAGGATTTAGGCCACGACTATTTTCAAGAGCTATTATGTAGGTCATTATTTCAAAAGGCAAGTGAAAACAATTCACGATATGTAATGCATGACCTTGTTACTGATTTGGCACAATGGGCAGCAGGAAATACTTGTTTTAGATTGGAGGACAAGAAAGGTGATAACTTGCAATCTGTATGCTTTCGTCATTCGTCTTTCATAACTGGTGAGTTTGATGGAGTTCAAAAGTTTGAGGCCTTTCGAGAAGTTAAACGTTTGCGAACATTCCTGCCACTTTCACTATCAAATACTGGATGGATTGGATATCTGGCTCGTAAGGTAATATTTGATTCATTACCTCAGATGCAATATTTACGGGTGCTTTCTTTGAATGGCTATTTCATAACTCATGAGCTGCCAAATTCAATTGGTAATTTGAAGTATCTGCGGTATCTTGATCTTTCTCACACACTGATAACAAGTTTGCCTGAATCAACAACCACTCTTTTCAACTTACAGATACTGATATTGGAAGGTTGTCGTTATTTGGAGGCACTGCCTAGAGACATGAGAAATCTAGTGAATCTCCGTCATCTCAACAATTCAAATGTAGATTCACTAAAAGCAATGCCTCCGCAACTAGGTCGATTGACAAATCTACAATCTTTGCCTAATTTTGTGGTGGGTAAAGGTAGTGATGAATCACGGATAAGAGAGATAGGATCCCTATCCCATCTCCGAGGGACATTATCGCTCTCAAGGTTGGAGAATGTGATCGATGCTGAGGATGCACGGAAGGCCGACTTAAAATCCAAGGAGAGAGTAGATAAATTGGTGCTAGAATGGTCGGATAACACACAAGAAACGCAATTAGGCGTGCTTGACAGATTAGAACCTCATAGAATGCTTGAAAAACTCATCATCAGGGGTTATGCTGGATTAGAATTTTCAACATGGATTGGAGATCGTTCATTCACTACTATGGTGCATGTACGCTTAGACAAATGTAAAAATTGTCACATCTTGCCACCACTTGGGCAACTGCCTTTGCTCAAAGAACTTTATATTACAGGAATGGCTGCAGTGGAAATTGTTGGCCCTGAGTTTTATGGGGAGGGTAGCTTGCCTTTTCCAGTACTAGAGACTCTTGAGTTTGAGGATATGCAACACTGGAAGAAATGGGTTCCTTTTGTCCTCAATTGGAGGGTAAGGTGCCCGAGAACCTTGATTCATTAGAAACACTTAGAATTATTGAATGCCAGGAATTGGTGATTTCAATTTCCAACTATAAACAAATTGGTGATTTATGCGTCGACGGTTGCAAAGCGGTGGTGAAGACAAGTGGCGTTGAGTTTGAGTTATTAAATTCCTCGAGACTTTCAAATATTTCAGAGGTGAGGTTCCAAACAGAGGAATTCACCAAAGGATTAAGGAAGGTTGCATATTTGAAGATTGGCGGATGTGAGGAGCTGACGTCTTCACTGAAGAATGAGGATAGAGTATTGCAACACTTGATTTCTCTTGATCGTTTGGTCATTGAAGGCAACTCTTCCCTACTTGAAAAGCTGGGAAAAGAAGCAGAGGAGTTGCTGCAATTGCAAATATTGACTTGCAAGCTTAAATATCTAGAACTATAAGGGTTGCAACACCTAACGGCTCTTCAAGACCTTGAAATAAATAGATGCTCAAGTCTGGTTTCTTTTCCAGATATTGGTCTGCCTCCTTCCCTTGAACTCATAAACATTCAGTGGTGTGATTCGTTGCTGTATTTTGCAAAATTCCAGATTCCCCCAAATTTAAGAAGAATACAGATATGTTGGTGTAAAAGTTTGAAATCATTAGTAGAGAAAGAGGAGGATAGTTCTTCGTCTTCCTCTTCTTCTCGTATTTCTCTTGAGCACTTGCAAATATGGGGATGTGAACAGCTGCAGTTAATAACGTCGTTATCATTGAGAGCCCAGTTGTTTCCTAGGGCGCTTAAAAGCCTATACATATCCCACTGTGGAGAGCTGCAATTAATAACGTCCGATGGGTTAGCCCACGACAACACTAATTATTGTCTTGAACGTATTAGCATCAGTGAGTGCCCAAATCTGAAATCCTTACCGGAGGGCCTATGCCACCTCACCAATCTTCAAACTTTACAGATTTATGATTGTGGGAGTCTCGTTTCCATCCCGAGCCTGAGTGGTGAGGGTTTGTCTTCGCCAACAACAACAGCCGCCTCCAGCCTGAGAGAAATCTGCATCAAAAATTGCAACAAATTGGAGATGTTACCGAACATGCGCAATCTCAACTCTGTTCAAGAATTGCGTATTGAGTGATGTGAAGGTTTAGATTTCACTTCCTTTCCCCCCAACCTAACATCACTTGAAATCAGAGGAATCAAGAATTGTAAGCCGATGTGGGAGTTGTTGCCCACACTCACCTCTCTTACAGAATTGTCCATCAGTGGTGAAGACCCCAGTGTGGTGTCATTTCCACCCGACAGTTACAGGGAGATGGAGAAGGAGATGCTGCTCCCCGAATCTCTCACTCAACTCACAATTGGTGATTTCCCAAATATGAAGAAACTGAGCAGCAAGTGCTTTCAATCCCTCACCTCTCTTCAATCTCTTCGACTCCGGAATTGTCAAAAGCTGGCATCTATTCCAGTGGAGGGGTTGCCTATTTCACTGAGGCGACTTGATAGCATTCGATGTCCCCTGCTAAAAGATAAATGCCAGCCTGGTAGTAAAGGACGATACCTGCCCAAAATATCCCACATCCCCTGCATACAGATAATGGATTAGAAGACAGTTTGAAGATGATGAGAAGCCACACCCACAGATGGACATGGTCAACTCCGACTCTCACTCTCCCCAGGTACTTCAAATTTCAAACATTATCAACATTTTCCCTGTACTCTTTATGGTGAGACTCCTTTTCTGTCATATGATTTCAAAAAATGAGTAATTTACTGATTTGCTGGTTCTGGTTCTTTCTTTATGATATTGTACGCTGTTGACTTCTTCAATCACTACAATCTTCATTTTCACTAAGGCATGACCATGACACATTGAAATATGATTTTCATTGCTATTTTGGTATTTCAGAACTTAGTTTCTTATCCATAAGAATAAATACAGGGAGTGCATTTAAGCCAGATTAGATCAACAAATTCACACACTTCAAGATGACCGTCTCCCGTCCTGACTGGGGATTCCCCAACCTCCCATTGCGATTTACTAATGGGGTGGCCCATATTTCTCCTGGACCCAGTCCTCGCATGATGTCTGGTCCAGTGTGAGAGGGTTGAAAGAAGGGACTGCCTCTCTTGCTTCCGGAGCTGCAGGGTGAAGAGCTGTGAAAGGACTGGATAGCAACAAGGTCATTTCATATCGTGCTAACATCAACAAGGTCATTTCTGTTGCAAGTTTCAGACGTTTAATATTTTGCCATTTCGTTTACCTCGTAATATTTTGCCACCTCTCTATTGAGAAAACTTTTACCCATATTTGTCTTTCTTTTGTTTGCTTGGCTACAGTGTTTATGTATTTCATAATTCTCTGCCTTTTATTCAAGTTAGTAGGTTTACTTAATCTTAACTGAAGATTTGAACCCTGACCCCTTTACAATATTTAGAGAACTTGTAGAGCTAGCTGTTTTTTTGGTTGGGACGACTTCGGTTTTTAAAGGACATCAAGTAACCAAGTGTTCTTTGTTCTTTTAAACAGAAATATCGACTGAACCTGCCAGATACTTGTGAAAAATTCTTGATATTTGCACTGAGATATGATATGTGCAACTAAGCTTCATCTTTATTTTGATGATTTACCACATTATATTTTGAATCATGCTGAGAAATATAAGTGAGGTTGCCGTGTTCTGTTTAAAGAATGTGCTTCTGCTTTGGCAGGAACGCTTTCAATATACAGCTTACGGAAGCCGATGTTGTGTTGTGCCAGAATAGTCTTCAAACTCCCATCCCTTGAAGCTTCTCAAGAAACCGCTGCAGGGGAATAGTAAACTCGTATGGCTCATGCTCTTTTTCTCTCCAGATGTTTTGCTTGCTCCTTGATTCGAGTGTGACGCCTACAATGGTATTGTCCTCTTTGCAAAAATAGTTGAAACCATCCATTGCAATAGGAGATTGTATATATGATGGATGAATCTAAGAATTCAATTATTTGTCTATTATAATTCATATTTGTTAAGATTTAAACAAAAAGAAAATAAAGAAAACAAATGGATTTCAAATGATTTCTTGTCCTTGCTATTGGTGTGGGTTAATTGGCAAAGACCATGCCTAGTCTGATTGTCCACACCACAATGATGGAAGCATATATAGCCGATATCTCTCGGTTGCTAGTTTATTTTATAAATGTCCATCTCTTGCACTTTTATCATCAAGACTTAGAAGGTTATCGCGCTGTAATTCCATAAACAAAATCAATATCCATAGAAAAATAAAATTACTTACAACAATCATGTAATCTACCCTATGCTCTAATCTCATAATTTTTGAATTTCAACCCACCGGGCATAATCGACCCACTTGTTCCTGAAGAGGAAAACACAACCAACTAACATAATGAGATTCAAGGAGAACTCAGATTTTACATCAAGGACCCCAAGAATGTGTTGCCTGTTCGAACAGCAAAGCAAATTGCACTCAGTATAATCTTGTGTTGGTGTAGCAAGGGTTCTAGAAATCGTTGTTCGTTTACTCCCGCGAGAACTTGGTACCTTTAAAACAAAAGGTATATCATTATGCATGTTTCCAATAGTAACAAAAATAAATTATTATCATTTCTGACTAGCCTCAACTATTTATGACCAATGATTCAATAGTAGTGTCATTGCCAAATGAAATAATCAGGATATCTCTTAGCCCTTCTCATAAAGATGGGATATGCATGTTTCTTTAATCCCCCCTATCCAACCAACATCAATTATCTTGACTAGTTGGTTGACTCCAAAATATCTTGATATCAAAAGCATGCTTTAGTATAAAATAATCAAACTATTGTAATATAATAAACTAACCGACATAGCTGTAAAATAATAAACTAACCGACATAACTGTATACAAAGTCGGTGACTCACCTATATATATACGCTTGTTACCTTGGAGCTTTGTAACTTTCCTCCTCCATTCAAATAAAATTTCCTTGTTACTCTTTCAAAAAAAATTCCATTCCGCATCAATCTACCATTGATGTTGTTTCTTTTTGCCAAAATATAGTCCTTGATTAGGTTGAATTTTAGACAAACCAAGCTCAAACAACCAAAGGATCGCTCCGTAAAGACAGATCATTTTGATAGACATGGACTACATTTTCCATCACATGTCACACAGGCGATGCTTCTTGGGTGCTACTTTATTTCTCAATGTTCATCTCTTGCATTTTTATCATCAAGATTCAAAAGATGACCGCACCCTGATAAATATATATAATCAGTAATTTCATAAACAAAATCAACATCCACACAAAAATAAAATTACTTACAATCATGAACTGTGTTCATCTACCTTATGCTCTAATCTCATGTTTTCTCTTAAAAGGAATCTCCATACTGTACATTCTGCAATGCAAAACTTATGACACAAGACAAACAATCTAATAATGTACTAATAATACTCCCATTTCTCTCACTGAATGCATATAATATTGTAGAGTTTAAAATGAAATGTACTTTCAATGGCAATAAAGCAGACTAGAGAGCCTCAGAGTGGCGGAATAAATTTATACAAATTTATAAATAAATCTAATTCTAAACATGTATTTATAGAAAAACGCAAGCATTATTTAAACATAGAAATACACCCAAAATCAACCTCAAAATCAACTTTTTGGGTGTGTTTATAAATGGATTTTGAGTGTGTGTAATGATGGGTTTTGGGTGTGTTTATATGTTTAAATAGTGCTTGAGTTTTTTTATAATTTAAGTCCCCATTTTGGGTGTTTTAGTGAAACTCCCATAAATTTATAAGACTAGTTGGAAAAGCTTGTGCCATTATATTATTTGGCAATGGTACACTATCATGAAATTAGAAACAGTCAAGGATTATAATGTTGAGTAAAGAAAGATCATTCTGACATGTTAAATGGTGTAGGTGATGCAATTACACACTGGGTTTGCCTTGTAATATTATTCCTCAGGCAATAACATTGGCCCTCTACGACTTTAATTCTGGATATGTAAAAATTAGGCACAAATAGGATATTTAATTCCGGATATGTAAATAAAGAGTTGTTTTGCGGTGACGGTACTATATATGGACCACGGATGTGGATTTTCATATTAGTCACAGAATTCATCTGAATAGTAATTACACTTAAATTTTATAAAATGGTCATGTGACTAATATAAAGGTCCACATTAGACAAGCACTAGACTTGACTGAAAACTCAGTTCTACTTTTTTTTTGCCTTTCTTTTTTTAATGTAGGAAGCTTCCTACGTTTGTCTAGCGTGTTGAAAAAGGACCATCAGTGCTCGTAAAATCTTGTTCATATTTAAGCTAATAAAAATCTCTATACCCCGTGAAAATATTGCTCCTAATTTCCAAATGGATCATAAATATCTAAACTAACCAAATGTAAGGGAATGATGAATTTATAGCCCTTGATGTATTTATCTCATGAATATCACTTTGTCATAAATATCTAAACTAACTAAATGTGAATCTATAGCCATTGTAAGGGAATTTATAGCCATTATTGGCAAAGTTGTTATTTGGGTCTGCTATAGTTAGTTTAGCCTTGCACTCAAGTTCAATCATTATTCCCTTGCACTCAAATATTTACATTTGGTTAGTTTAGAAAATCACTTTGTCATAAATATCTAAACTAACCAAATGTGAATTTATAGCCATTAATGTATTTATCTTAGTTCTACTTCGACTACAACCGTTGTGCTTTAAACCATAAAATAGGGCATGTTTTATTCTAGGTCCTTATTTTGCTCGACAGCTTGCATCCGTATTTGTAATAATGGTGTTGGAGACTACAGTATATATGATGAAAAGCAACACTGGATATATATAACAAAGCATCTATTTACCTGCTTTTACTTATTTACGTTCTCCATACGTGTCATAGGGCCTGTTTGAACTTCCATGAGATGAGAATGAGACCAACCTCATCAAAATTGATTGGGAAATGACCCTCAGTGTCACCCCTTTAATAATTTTAACTAAAAATACCATCCCTTCCCAATTTTTTTATAACTATCAACTATAAATATAAAATTATTGTACCCTTATTGCTCTCCTAACACATTTTCTGAAATT